AGTAAACATCTTATGTAGGAAAAAATTGTCAGAAATGTTAGATTTAGGCCTGATTAGAAAAAATGTAGGGTAAAGGCAAAGGACAAACACAAAGATTGTCTTCATTTAAGTGTGTATCTGCTTCAAACATAAACATGATTGGCTTTTTGAAGTAATACTTCCAAAATGGTTGTATGGAATAAATATGGTTATCTTAATAAATTCCCTAAAAAGTAAATGGCGCATGCGAGATGTCATTGCAGAACGGATAAAATAGAGAAAAACGGAATGTTTTACGAAAACCTAACACGTCAAAATTGTAACTGTTGCACGTTAGTCTTGATTGAAACTGAACATGTACGATAGTGGTTTTTGATATCTAAAGGGACTCCCTATACCATGTATACATGTACTTTAATCTCAGATATACTGATATTTCATTTTCTCTTAAAACAGATCATTTTAAAGTTTAAAGAGTGAATGGAAATATGCCATGTCAAACATAGACTTAATTCAAGTCTTCATTCAAGTTTTTTTTTTCGCATGACTTATTTCATCCCAGGACAATAAAATCAACACGTTTGTGTGAAATAAACAAATGGAATCGCATTATTGATTGGTTTTAAAGAGTTTGCTGTCAGCAAATTTTCTAGATGATACACAGACTTCATATTAAACAAAATAGAATTACACGCGATCTTGTACATAAATACACTAGTTTAGAAACACATGGTTTTACTACTTGTTGCGAGAAAGCACACTAAACTGAATAAATTAAAAATATCAATGCGCTGTCATGTAAACATTATTATATACAGATCGATCGGTGTAACTGTTGCATGAAATATAACCCCCATCTCTCATACAAATGTACTTTATATTAACTCCATTCATCTTAGCTTTTAAAGCAGTACACCAATAGATTCATACAAAATTTCATAAAATGTAATTACAACTAAATATTGATATTATGAACAATGTTATTTATTTACATATTGCAAAAGGCAATTATATTCATATAAATTACAAAAATATACCAAAATTAGGTCAAAAGGTGCAAGAAAATAACCTTTACTGTTTTACCGTTTGTAACGCAGTAAAATCATAGTGATAAATACTGCAAAATCAGTCAGTAATCACATATTTACTTGTTAATTATAACATAAATCTTGCATATTTTCTTTTTACTTTAAAAAAGGAAGTTTTAGTGCAGTTTTCTCAACTTTAATTTTCTTAAAACATGTTGGCTTATATGGAGGCATGCAGCTTTAAATGTAAATTCCTTTCATTAAATTGCCTATTCTTCTTTTCAGTTTACAGTACCTTTCAGGAAAATAATTTACCACCGGAAATTAAATTGAAAAAATATATTTTGAAATATTGAACATAATCAAATGAATACTTTATCAATTTATCATGTGTTGTATGATTTCAAACTATACAACACTTTTTTTATTAAGCTGTCCATTGATAATGAAATTTTAAACAGCCATAGGTCTTTTTAGCTTTTAGAAATAAACAGGGATCTGGACATTTAGATATTCGGTAAGCTTTGTTTAATCATTTTCAGTTCAGTATCATTTCAGTCAACTTGAAAGCTTTTATTTATTATTGTGAAATCAATTATTTTCCATCATTTTCTCACGAAATAATCAATATGACTGTATAATTTTAAAGTTTACAAAAAATACATATGTACATGTAAACTCACTAGTTATAAATAGCCATTGGAAGGCAATGTCGTTCAGTGTTATAATTCTTATAATTCTGTTTTAAATGCTATACAAATAAACAGCTTTATTTATATCTTATAACCATAATCTCGTTGAAGTACACATTGGCCAGCACATAAGTGTTGGTTCAATATATTGTATCCGATTTATCAACACTTGCTGAACTCTTCAAACTTATCATTATCGTTTAACTTATTAAACACGTTAAAGGGACTTCACTGAGGTTTAAAAGCCTAAAACATAACATTTGAATTTCTTACATAAATGAGCTGGGTCACTTAAAACAAATATATATGCAAATAATGTTGAGAAATATACTTTGAAATAAAATTGATTGAAAATCGTATTTTGATGCTTCTCTTAGCCGGATTTGAGTGAAAGGCGTTTAAACGCTTTCATTTTGGATGATTTTTACAATTTGAATAATTATTCTGGAAAAACAAAGTGCGTGAATGATCTTAAATTTTGCACAAAGATTAGTTGTCTAAACTTAAATCAAATGGTACATTTATATGGAAAAATATTTCCAGTACCATCATGTCGAAAAACCTCAGTGGAGTCTCTTTTAGATAATATTTGCATATTGATATTTTAAATAGATTTTCGTTCCGGAATTTAATGAACCTAAGTTGGTGGCATAATTATCAAAGGAGATGTATTTTGATCCTACTTCTTCAAAAGACATTCCAGTACCCGTCCATGAACAAGCTCAATCAAATCGAGCCTGCAACATTTTCATTTGTCTTGTTTTGGGCATTTTAGAAGGATTATCTCTATTTTAATTTAACGATTTGTCTGTATAAAAATAAAGAAAACGGGATCACCAAAGAATGCCAAATACAGCACAATTAAAAATGTTACAGGCTCGGTTCGGTTGAGCTTGTAACACCATTTTAATCAGACTTCAACATTTAACAAAGATGAACTTGTACAATCTTACGCAAGTTAGTACCTGCTAGTTAATGCATGATTAAAATTATCAATGAAGTGATATGGAAACATTGTTATTAAAGTATATTTAATGCTTAGTCAACAGTAAATCGTTCTATGACTTTCGTAACACTTACACTGTACATTACATCCATTTTTGACAATTCTTACCGACTTATATTTAGACCCACGCAAAAGGTCACGCAAAATAAAAAACTTAAAACTATATTTGTTCTACGTGCGTAATGAAAAATTGTATTTACTTAAAACTATATTTGTTCTATGTGCGTAATGAAAAATTGTATTTATATTCTTTATACCGTATAAAGACAAATACGTTTCAACTGCAGCAAGCTTTTATCTTTTTAATGCAACGTGTTTTAAGCGAGTAGCGGCTTTAATTTCAGCAAATCAAAGACATCTCATTGGCGACACAGGGCACGATCTACATACTAAATTTGTTTACCTGGTGATATAAAAATTCAAAATTGTCCCATAGATTATAAATTTTATGTATGAGCAGATCGCTTTATTACAAGCTAGTCCTTTCGTTTGCATCTCCACATAATAAATAATACGATCGTTTTTCAATTAACCCACTGATGATATAACACCGGAAATTGAATTCAAGAATTATTGCTTTTCCTCGTCTAATGGTTTACGTCTATTTCAAAAAATAATATTCATCTTAATCAAATTACCAAACGTTTTTTGTTGCAATAAAACGGAATAAATAAATAAAGAGAATCAAATAAAAATAAAGAAATAAATAATAAAGAAAATGAAAAAATATAATATAGATAAAAAAATAATAATGAAAATATTTAAACAAATTAAAGCAAGTGTTAGGCCGTTTATTCGAGATGGTGGAACGTTTAAAACACTTTATGCCTATTGTCAGTGGTTTAAGCGATATATAATCCACGATAATTTATGTATAAGTGCGATATTAAGTATCGTAAACGTAGAGCTATTACATGTAACTTCTCGTACAATTTGCTTACAAATATGGATTCATGTCATGTTAAATGTTGAATACTGCTTAAGCCGGTGCAAGGGGGTGTGGACAGGTTCATTCAAACCTAACATTTTCAAATTTGTCGTTTTGAGGGTTTTTTAAAGATTCTTATTTTTCTATATTCTTAATTTATATTCAGAGTTAACAATTAAAGCACAAAAGCAGCTATTTTCCCCTCTTTTGCCAATGTTTTAACGGGACCAAAACCATGTGTTAACAAAGTCACGCGCTGTTGTTATTAAAGCCTGCTTTTACCTATGCGCAATACATTATACAGGGCCCGGTTTACAACAAAAAGTACGCTTGTGTCCTTGAAAAAAACCGTTTCTGATGTGTAATGTCAAGTATAAATGCCCCTGATCTTTTTCTACCGTCAATCTGAAATCATTTTCGGAATTTTTGAGGGTCATGTTTTGTCTTGGGAAAAGTACTTTTTTTCTTGAGATGATAAATCTCCAATATTAAGCCTTGTTAAATCAATCAAAAATCAATATTTGGTTCGTCACTGAAAATCTGAGCATTTATATTTCCCAATTGTATTGGCCCCGTTAAAGTAAAACGCAAACGTAAAAAATGCTGAATTGGATCAATACCGTCTAAGCGAAGGATTTCATGTATTTGTTTTGCATAACATAAACATCGTGAATTTGGTTTAAAACTATACGCTATAATAGAGTTTTTTGTGTTTTTTTTTTTTGTGTTAAAAAATCTGCAGAGTCCCTTGTAACTGTTGGAGCCCTCGCCCTAACGGGCCCGTGCACCAACCGTTCCTTGGGACTCTGCAGACGTTACAACACGGAAAAACAGGCGTTAACCCTATATCATAGATAAAACATATTTGACAAATTTTATCAAATTGTCTTTTTTGTCTGTTTTAGTTTACGTAGTTACAATGTTACCGCCATTAAAATGTCTTCCATCATTTAAAAGCATACCAATACATGTGTATGGAAAGTGGATTTTACTGGCTTCTAAACGAAATATGACAATTCTTACTTCAAAGACGGGTATTTTCTTTGCGGCTTTAATTTCATTTTCACAACTGCTCAGATCTAAGCAGACATTCTTAAAGTCTACCTTTCTTTCTCTATTCTGATAGATAACCTGTTTAGTGAACTTATTAATTTAAATATAAATTGAAGTTTTGTTTTAATTTTGAATCTGTCTGTATATAGATAATGTGTATTTTGTATGATACATTAAGTTAGCAGTTAATTGAATATAAATAATGTTTAAACCAATGAGTTGTATTAAATGAGTGCTTAATAAACCGATTCGCATAACATTATATAAGCCGCAAACTATGCAGTTGTACAACAATAGGTATCGATTAGCACGGTTTCTATCAACATGGTTTCTATGCTACTTTAGCAATGACGTAAACTTTTGAAACTTTAGTTATGATGTTATGATAGTTTAACCCTTTAAAATATAAGTATTAATACGTTACTTCTGATAAATAACTTGGATTATTACACCTCAAACGGTAATTATGCAAATATAAATATATATATAATTAGGCGTTTATTTAATTTCATATAATTCACGTGCTTTAATTAGCATAATTTAATTAATACCGAAAGTAGATTGTTTTTATAGTTTAACAGGTTCCTGTTTAAAATGTTTGTGTTTTGTTGACACATATAATTATAAATTATATCGAATATATTTATTAACTGTACTATAGACATTCAATTATGGACCAATTATTAAACTCGTTTAAGTATAATACAACTTTCTCTGTTTGGTTTAACGGCGAACCAACACAACGCCGAAAAGGGGAAAGATATTTTTGGTTAACCTCTGGTGTTAATATCTTCAAAGGGGTCAAAACCACCTAACCTGCTGGAGCTAAGAGATGCAAAGACTCCAGTTATCCGAACATTTAGTCGGCTCTTGCGATCACGCAGGGATAAAAAGTGGCTGCAACCATTAAAGGCTACCCCTCAGCAAAAGAATGAATGTGCAAAATAAAGTTTGTCGTCGATAAAATACATAAACAAAAATAAGGAAACCCCTAAGTTACTGGTACACTCTCTAAATGTAAACTAGATTCGTTTCCCAATCTTCTATTTAGTAACGAAAGTCACTGCGCGCTATAGATAGCTTGTGGGGTGACGTTTTGAAAAATGCTTAACAGTAACATGATGCCTTTTTCTTAGGTTATAATACTAGAATACTTGGTTTGAAACAGCACAATATTGCTTTTCCAACACAAAATAAAAGCTGGAGGCAGCTTTATTCAACTAGTGTATATCTGAAGTAATAAACGAAATCATTCTAGTGTAAACTTTAATTGGAAAAACTAGTTGTATATAAACTTTAATTATGTTTAAACAGTGTTCAAGCTTAATCAATGTGAAAAAAAATTCATCCGTTCTTACCAAAATGTACATTATCTTTGTTGTTTCATGCAAACAAACAATACGCATCCAAGTGTTTAAGTCAGTTTAAGTAATTGCAATAAGTTCAAAAGCAAATTTATCATATTCTTAATAAGTCAACTTGTAACACCTATTTCGTCTATACTGAACATAAAGACTGTATTTATGATCGTTATTTAAGGCTTAGCATGCCCTACAAATGCTTCTATTTCTTTTCCCCAAAAGCCCCAAACAGATACATCTTACCGTTTCAAATTTTCCATTTAGCTGTACTGTCTTTTGTTTCTGTTGCTCTCTGGCAATAAATACAGTAATTATTATTATAGTGAATTTATTTATTTTAATATATTGTGTGGAAGTAACAGATATTACTTTGTCCCCATTTGATACTTTAATGACAGATAATTTCTTATTCAATGCTACTTTCTTCAGTTTCAGCTGATAAACATATAGCATGCTCTAAAACCATTTTTTAAACTTCATAAAGCTCATGTTTGCCTTTTTGAAATAAGTTTTTTCCCTTTCTGTTCTTCAGCATGTGATGCCTTTAATAACAAATCACATTTTTTTATTTTATTTATTCATGTATTTTGACCATATTATAACATTATTCATCATATATGCTTATGCTGAATATGAGATATGTTGACTCAATGCTTAAAGTATAAAATTTGTGCTCTATGTTTTCATGAGAAATGTCGTTAATATTCTATCTTTAAACTAGAGAACAAGACCAAAAAACGTTCCTTGATAAAATATATATTGAAAACTATCTTTCTTTAGATAGCCAAATAATGGCTTTCTGACAGATGTAAAATTGATTTTTATCCAAGTAAAAGAAAAATAGAAATGATTATTATATGTGTGCATAATGCATTCAAAAGCAAAACAAATATTAAATATCGACATTTAAAGTTTTGAATCGAGCCGAGGTAGGACAGGTAAATAAAAGCATGTGCAATCAATGACGACGGGTAAAGATATTGATTACAATTTTGCGTTTATTTTATCCGACAATAACCGTAAATTTGTAACTAAACTACTGTATTTGTAAATAAACTACTGTTTGGAACAAAATAAAAAACAAACTCGTGAAGAAATGGGGGTTTATAACCTCGGAACTTTGTAAATTGATTAACTTCGGTCAAGGGATAGTTGATTCATATTTGAAACGAACATAGTCTATTTCTTAAGATGTACAACAATTATTTATACTACAAATACAACATTAAATGTCCTGTTCATATTGCTATCTCCCTTTCCCGTAAAATTAATGTTAAAACTCATAAATAGACAGATTGTAGGGACAATATTACATATAAATTGAAGTGGAAGCAGCTTAATTCTTAAGTAAGTTGTGTAGAAAAGTATCCATTATACAACGTTGCTTCTTTGACGGCTAAATTTCAGCGGCGTATAACCAATTAGAATATACAAAACAAAACGTTATATACAAGCTGGCGGATAACAATTTTACATTTAACTATTATGTTTATTATTCAAGCAATATGATTAACTTCCTCGTTAAACTTTTATCATTATTTTTTTGTAAAGTGCAATTTTGGCCTCATAGACTTACAGTGACCGATCAGCCAGCCCGACCGAAACTGAAGTGCTGTGTACTACTCCTTAATGAAAGTAATTTTAACATATAGAACGAGCAGTTTAAAATGAATCTGAAGTCACCTCTAGAAACATATATATGTACTGTGTGTATAACACAGGAAGTTTTCATAGGAGAAAAAATTCATGGCAAGTACGTGAATACTTGTAAATATTTGTGGACTGTTACTTTTTATACGTCTTCTAAAATAGTGTGTTTAGATCATACCGACCAAATGCCTTTATTAATATTTAGGTCAATATATTTGAAAATACAATGCATAAGAAAACTGCCGAAGACCAATTGCAAATAAATAGTATATATTTTTATATTTTTTATTTCGGTCCCGTTGGTTATTTCATGTGTGATTCATCCTACATTAATATGATAATTGCGACGTCATTTTGGTTCTTGTATTTAGCTATTATCACATGATGCGGTCCTTTGTCTTGATGTTCTTAAGCTATTTAACGCCAGCAACATACTTTATTTTTGCAATTTAGTGACAGTGTGATATTTCAGATAACGCACATTTCTTGATAAAAAGTGTACATTATTTAAAGAAAGAGCACAGTTATGGTACTTGACCTGGATGGCCGTAGACATCAAAAGACACTGGATTGTACAACGATTAAAGCTAGAACCTGGATTATGTATAACCATGACCTTAGACATCAAAGACACTGGACTGTACAACGACTTCAGCTGAAGATCAAGGATATATCCAGTATGGAAATATGACATCGTGTACTTGCATTCATCAGTTCCCATTTTAATTGCCTGGCTAAATAAAAGCGTGTAGGTAAAAGGAATGTGTTTGGTTTAAGGAACTCATCATTGTTATTTAAATTATATATAGATATATAACGCAAATTGAAATGATTTGTTTCAGATAGAGACATAATAAAATGGCTACTGGAAGAGGTCATACGGTTGGAGGAGTACATGTACGTTGGGGTAAGCCTGGCGGGACAGGACTTGTCGAGGCCTCTGCAGGAGTGCCTGTCGACCTTGAAAAGAAAACGGCTTATTTCTTACGCATGCATTTGCTGATCGTTAAAGAGGTAACCAACTTGTTAAGGGCACGATTTGACATGGCTGTACCGCGACATAAACTTCATGCGACGTTAAAAAAGTTTATGAAAACTTTAAATCATGCAAAGAAAAATAATCTTCTAACTACAATGCAGTGGGGTCTTTTGTTTTCGAAATATCATCAACCGTCTTCGGACACTTTCGACGTTACTCTCCTAGCTTATCTACTAAGAAACATCTGTGGACTTAAGTCAAAATCGAAATGGTGGGGTGAACCTGACAACCGCAAGATTCCTGAAAATGTAGTTACTGCGGAAGCTGACATTGCTCGATTAATGAACTTAAGGAATGATGTAATTATATTATTTCTTCTTGATACGATTAAAAAGTAAATTCTTACTGTGAAAAAAAAACATGGTATTTCTGTCAATCCTTCATAATAACTTGATCTTACCCTAGATATGTTGTACAGATCGGAGAAACTATTTCGCAAAATTTCCCGCAGAGTAGTGTATGTTATATGATGATATTAATGTTCTACTGTGTACTAACGTTCATTTTTAAAATAATTGAATAGATGCTGCACAAACCAGTTGCTTCATTAGAGCCGGCAGAATTTGAAGAAATGTGGGACCTAGCAGAAAATGTACGTTTGTATATTAACCGTTGACTTGAGTTAAACAATTACTTTAATTGATGATAATGCATCTTGACAGCTGGCCTATAGTGGTTCTGTTCTTTTGCCAGCGGATTTATATTGTTACTCTTTCTCATAAAACGGTATAAAACTCATTTGTTTCCAATGCTGTAGATGTAATTGTACAAAAATATTTAATTTCAAATGATATCGGCCAATTCAATTTATTGTTAACAAAGAGTAATAAAATTATACGCTGTCATTCTGTTGCTATCTTTTGAAGTACCCAATGACATTTTCATCAAATTAATAGACGCGATTGTCCAGATGTATTATTCTTATGTTTGGGCATTACTCTCGCTTGCAATTAGCATTTAGAGCGGGGTCTTAAAACGTATTTAACATCTTTTTCAACAATATAAACAAGTGGCTAAAGTCTAGTATGTGAGCACTCGACTAGACGTCGTATGAGGTTTAACTTCTAATAAGGGGCGCTGCTTATAAATATTAATTGTGACAGCTGTAATAACAAACGTACTTTTTCTTGATATTCAGGTCATGATCAGACTAGCTACAAAATTGAAAATACAAGATCAGAAGCAGAAAATTGATGATTTGAAGGCTCGACAACTTGATTTAGTTACAGCTGAAATGAGTATAATGAGTATAAAAGGTAAGATAGGTGCTTCAAATTTTACGAGTGTTGTGTTTTAATATGTGTATAATAGGCTGCATACATTATATTGTAATTAGATTTTGTATTAAAGGTTTTTTGGATCTGTCATTGTATCTGATTAGAAAAGTAATATTTTCTGAGCAGTACCCTTATTAGGAGAAAATAGCTCATAATTTATTCATAAGCTGTGAATCTAACATTTACTTTAAAATTGATTATTGGTTACAGCTCATACAGAATATTTTCTACAAGATTATCAAGACGATCTTCAATATGTAGAAACTACTACCTACTTACAAAGCAAAGTCAATTTTAAAAGATAATAATATGGTAATACTAATTGGTCATCAAGGGGAAGGTAAAACTACTATGGCTGCAAGACTTGCCTTACATGCAAGTCCCTCCCCACGTAAGTGCCTAAAACTTGCAGCGCCATCTGATTGGCGAAAAATCGATTTGTCATTAAAACGTTTCGATACAATTATCATAGACGACATATTTGGTGCTGGTGCTTTGGATCAGAAGTTGGTCGGTGATTGGCGAAATCATCTGAATGAACTAGAAAGAGCATCAAAGAAAAATGATGTGCGATTGATAATAACATCCAGGCATTACATTAATGAGGCATCTAAAGAGGAACTTGGTTCTCTGCCAATGTTCACGAACGATAACAAAGCTCTTCTGCTGCTTACATCCTCTGAGCTTACATCTGCCGAGAAAACTAAAAATTCTAAAAATGCAAGCGGCAAAACACGACAAATATTTGGATGACGAAATAATACATGAATGTGTTTGAAGCTGCTAAAGCCCGACAGAACAAGTAAAATATTTTCTGTTCGGTTTCCCAGAATGTGCATCTATGTTTGTCAGAAAACAAAACCATGTTCGACAAAGGTGCATCCTTTTTAAGCAACCAGCCGAGTTTATTAAAACATATTTAGATATGTTGTATAGCGGCAAAGAACAAGAAAAGTTTTTTTAGGCGCTTGTAGCTGTATGGCCAGTGGATAATAAAAAGGTATCACGAGAAGAACTGAGGAAATAGTAGAAGTGTATCCAACAACGTCAAAAAGGTAGCAGAAATATTTGGCCGTCATTTAAGCAGAGCTTTCCTTGACAAAATGCGAACTTCATTAGAATCTCATGTGGGAGGATATCTTGATTATATAGAAGCTACTGGAGAATATACGTTCAGTCATAATGTCATCGCCGATATGGTTGGGTTGGTCATCGGTAAACAGAAACCAGAAGCAGCTGTAGACATATGTCCACGAGACTTTCTTATGGATTTTGTTTCAATTGGGGAAGACATACAAGATGATTTTAAAGTAGCCTTAATGGAGAGTCAAACCGATTGTCTCGTAGTTAAATGTGTTAAAATGCTTTTGCGGGAAAACTGTAACCAAGATACTGAAGACATCAAACTAGATGAGTTTGAAACACTTTCAAGGACTGGACATAATAATAATTACATCTACATTATCCGCTTGATTGATTTTGGTATCATTAAACACAAAGCGTTTAGTTCTGAGAGATTTGTGAAAAAGTTCATCGACTATATCATTGAAGAAAATCTCGAACAAAAATGTTTCTCTGTCCCCGTCGTGATAATGATGGGACATTTCCTTGACTATGGAATATCTATGAAGCAACTTGATATGTGTCTGATGGGATATGCCTGGTACAGTGGGGCAACGACATTTGCAAAGGAAGTTATAGCACGACGGGTAAACGGAGAGGACAACGCGGATTTGTCTGTACCTTTATTGTTAGCCATTCACTCAAGACAAAAAGATTCAGTAGAATTCCTCCTACGCCATGGAGCAAGAGTAACTGGCGATGCGGTATATATCGCTTCTCATAAGAGCATAGAGCTTCTTGAAATATTTACTCCAATATCCAGGTACAGACGTAAATGACAGAGGAAATGCAGTCAATGGCAATTTTCCATTAATTATAGCAGCGCGAAAGGGTCTGTTTGAAGCTGCAAAAATGTATGAATAACCTCAGGTGCAGATCCTGGAGTACAGAACACGAAAACATATGACGGCATTACATAAAGCAATAATATACAAGCGTAAAGATGTGATCATGCTATTGATAGATGCCGGAGCACCACTTGATATAAAAGGGGGCGAATTACAAAGAACACCATTGCATTTAGCTGTTGATTTGAATGAAATAAAACTCGTGGAAGTTCTTCTTGAAAAGGGTGCTTCTTTGATGGTCGAAGACGATAGTGGACACTATCCAATACATCTTGCTGCTATACGAGGAAGAACTGATATTGTACGAGCTCTTTATTTAGCTGACCCGAGTCAGGATAAACTAAAAACATCCTCGTATGGTACAATACATGTTATCAAGGGAATGTCTTTATTTCATATTGCCGTTTGGAAAAGGAATGAGGAGCTTCTCGATGCTTTGATAGGACTAAAAGCTGATCCAAATGTAAGAGGTTTCAATGACCAGACTCCTTTGTACTTTGCAATTATGAGAACGCAAGAAGGCTTCATCAATAAATTATTAAACTACGGACGAACCGATAAGAATAAACCGCAAAAGCAAGGTTTCACTCCTCTTCATACTGCTATTCACAAAGATTTAAATGACATCGCAAAACGTTTAGCATTAGATGTCAATGTTAATGTAAACGCAAAGGACAAATATGGGAAAACGGCACTTCATGTAGCATGTGAAAAGGCTAACGTTGGGTTAATACAAATTCTTCTGGCAAAAGGAGCAGATCCAAGAATGATCACTCAGAGAGGGGATACTGTGTATCATATCTTAAGAAGAAGTGAGAAGAAATTGTCCGTAAGAGGATGTAACAATGCAAAATGTGCTGAGAATGTCATACGTGAATTTTACCCGGAACTTGGTGCACTATTGCCGACAAGGAGGAAAAAATACGGCACAGTAATCAGACCTCCAAGTAGAAAAACACAAAAACCAACCACAGAAGATTCAAAAGAAGATGAAAGTGACAATTTTTTAGAGGCGTGTGCTTCCATACAAGAAATGTATTACAAACCAAAAACAGTTAAAAAGAAACAGAAAAGAAGGAAGAAAGATATGTATGACTATTACGACTATTAAGCAAGATATTATACATGTATATGACAGAAAAAGAATCAAACACACAACAAAATGACATAAAAGACATAAATTGTGATAATGGCGACTATTTTTATTATATATATTGTTTAATCATATGTGAGAAGATGATGAATCAAATGAACAAATAACAACAAATGTGAGAATTATTTCTTTCATGCCATTCATTGTAATTAATTTAGACAATAATTTGTTTCTTCATACTCTACTTTTTTTATCAATATTCTATAGATTAAGCTAAAACTGTATGTTTAAGTTAGATGCTAGGGTTAATTAATGCATGTTTAATCTTTATGTGTGTGCATGTTTAATATTATGTATTCTGAATCTAAATACATATAAACAATTTTTATTCTACATTTATATACATGTAGTCATGTGTACAAGAAATTGAAATATGACTTAGACAAAAGGGTTGAAAAGCAAATACAAAATGATTGAACAAAGTCATTGTTCAAACACATCATATTAAACAATAAATGTATAAAACATCTGAAAACCGGAATCCTCTGAAAACCGGACTTTTGGTCAAGTCCGGACAGGGTCCGGTTTTCAGAGTTTTTACTGTACTACAACAATATATGCTAATTAGAGTAAGACTCAATTATGATTTTTTGTTGTGTTTTATTTTGTATTTGTTTTTATTGTGTTGCGTTTCTGTAAACGGCATTCGAATAAAATCAAAGGAACCAATATCGTTTACTAGCTTTAAACATAATGTAGCCATTCCTTTTACATTCCCAGTGTTGAGAAGTGTTATGTACAGGACAAGTTTCTGAAGTGCACTTTTACCTTGGAAAATGTAAAGAGAATTATTCAATCAAAAACTAACTTTAAACGAATTTTCATTCAAAAATGCTTATCAAGTCTCTTAGGACTTCTTAGAAGTTTTCTTAGAACAATGATACAATTCAAATCAATAAATAATGCATATCAATTAGTCCATTCAACAACTATGCCTCAGAAAACATCTGTATCAATCTGACCTCGAGTTGAGATTATAAATTCGACATTTATGGTCAATGGTAGGAAATTTTTGTAACTTCACAGCCTCATGTTATTTGGTATACAAATGCAACCCGGCTATGTTTGTCTTTGACCCATTTTTTTTAAATATTATCCAAATTTGTACTTCGTCTTCATTGTTACAATTTTCACGATGAAAACACGCTACAGGGAGTGTATTTTTAGCAACATGTACGTTAAAAAAAAACAAAGAGGTATTTCTATACACTTGTTTGCATTGCTGTTGCTGTTGACCAAAAGTACTTTACATTTGACACTAACCTTTAAAGACATTAAAGAATTTTATAAACCTGGTGCTTGTTTTGAAACAGAAAAATACTTTTAAGATCTCTTCTTTAAGGTAAGCTATATAGGGCCATCATTGCCCTCTTGTTTTAGTAAGCATTTGTTAGAAATGAGAATTAAATAAAATATTACCTCGAGCTCCTTCGAATAGAAATCCTTCTATGAAGTTTGGATATTGTAGGCCAAATGGAACTTCAATTATGCTCCGGAAACTGTTTTCAGTTTTAAGGTAATAGTGACCTTGACCTTTGACCTTGTTACCCGAAAATCAATAGGGGTCTTTCACCCGATATGGACAATCACCCTATGAAGTTTAAAGACTGTGGGCCAAATGGAACTTAAGTTTTGATCCAGAAACTTTTTTCAGTTTTAAGGTAATTGTGACTTTGACCTTGTGATCCAAAAATCAATACGGGTCTTTTATCAAATTTGGACAATCATTCTAAGAAGTTTGAATATTGTGGGCCGAATGGAACTTAAGTTATGCTCCGGAAACTGTTTTCAGTTTTAAAGTAATAGGTGACCTTGATCTTTTACCTTGTGACCCGAAAATCAATAATGGTCTTCTACCCAATATGGACAATCATCCTATGAAGTTTGATCACTGTGGGCCGAATTTAACTCAAGTTATGTTCCAGAAACTCTTTTGTGTTTTAAGGTAATTGTAACCTTGACCTTCGACCTTGTGACCCAAAATCATTTGGGTCTTCAACCCAATATGGACAATCATCCTATGAAGTTTGAATATTGTGGGCCAAATGGAACTTAAGTTGTGCTCCGGAAGTTGTTTTCTGTTTTAAAGTAATAGTGACCTTGACCTTTGACCTTGTGACCCGAAAATCAATAGGGTCTTCTATCCAAAATGGACAATCATCTCATGAAGTTTGAACACTATGGGCCAAATAGAACATAAGTTATGCTCCGGAAACTGTTTTCAGTTTTAAGGTAGTAGTGACTTTGACCTTGTGACCCGAAAACAAATAGGGGTCTCCTACCCAATATTCACAATCAATATACACTGAAGTTTGAATATTGTGGGCCAAATAGAACTTAAGTAATGCACCGGAAACCAAATTGCTAACGGACGGACGAACGGTAGTGCCGACAGACAGACGGACGGACGCCAGGGGGTATAACATAATATGCCCGAAATTCTTTCGGGCATATAAAAACGCAAAACAAACAAACATTTATGACTTCGAATTTAATAAAGAAACAAAACAAACACGCGTTTATTTACCATGTGTACGAATACAACTTTACCTTATACCAGTTATTAAAGCTGCACGCCTCCAAATGAGTCAAAATATTTCAATAAAATCAAACTTGAGAAATATTTACTAAAATTTAATGAAAAGTAAAATGATTCAAGATTCAAGTAATATTTTACATGTTATGTGCGGTTAATGACTGATTTTTCAATATTTACAGCTATATTTCTACTGCGTTACTAACGCAGTAAGGGCTATTTTTGCATATTTTGACAACTTTTTGGTAATTAAGTTGGTTGTAAGTGCCTTTGATAATGTGTAAATTGCTTCTTTTTGGCTATTTCACAATATTATTTATTCAAATGCATTTTCATAATTTTCATGAAAATAAGCGTGAATCTGAAGGCGTGCTGCTTTAAACATTTAAAGCCGGATGCCTTCAAATGAGCCGAAATATTTTAAAACGTCAAACTTCAGGAAAAAAATATTTTATAAAAAATAAAAACGATTTAACATTCAATTTACAATATAATGCGCGATTTATTTTTTTCGTACCATATTTCTACTGTCTGGCTTACGCAAACTATTTCTGCATATCTAAACCTTTCTAAGCTGTTTAGGGTAAATTGTGTGTGTGGTTTGTTGTTTTATGAAAATAATCGCCCACGATGTCAGAAAGTTACGAAATAAGGAGTTCCAACTTAAAAGACAAATTATGTAATTAAAAAGGAAGTAATGACCGAGGCTAGGCGAGTCGTGTGTGCATCATTTTGTAACTCTTTCTTACTTTGAATACCCAACGTTATACTAGTCTGAAAATGTATCAACATCTCAAAAACATATACTCGCAATTTTTTTTAAATATTTATACCGGTGTGCTAAATTCTTTTTGACCTTGATCACGTTAACATTATATATTGTGTAATGTTTTCAATATTGGAGGTACATTCAAGACATAAATATGGAATTTACGGAAACCAAAAAGGCAATCATTGTAATTATGTCTCATTAATAAACTTAGGTGTAAAAAAAGTTATAAATAACAAAATCAGACCTGCTTTTCAGGGCTGCAGCCGACTCTTCAAACGCATCCACTTTCAGCTTAGCCAGGACATACGTTTTAAAACTTGTATATGTTCGTGACAGTTTACTCGCTTATAAAAACATTTTATTTCCCTGTAATCCGTGTTCGCATGATGACTTTAGCTGAAAACTTAACCGATGACCTGAAAGTCATAATGGTTTATTAAGATGGCTTATTACTTTAAACAAACAATCTAAAATAAAACCGAATAACGTTATTTAACTGCTACAAACAAATAATCGTTTGCCAAAGTCCTAATTAAGAAATTGAAAATAATGATTGACAACAGTTCCTAAAAGGCGATGAAGGAACGCAACCCCACACGATCTAGCAACACAGTACCACCGGTAAGGATCCCATCAGGAAACCTAACAAAAGTAGGAAAGGACATAGGGCAACACACGGACGGGGTGAATACTTTAATAATACATATAATAGGAAACTAAGTATACGACCAATTCAAAAATATGCCTACAGGGATGAATGGGAAAGGGACATGGAGGTCGGGAAAGGGGCTGAAAATTAAAACAAAGCAGAAATAGGGACAAAGGGAAGATACTTACCGTAGACGAAAAATCAACAAAAAGGTACACAAACGTTTCACCTTAATAGTATGAAACAACAAAGACATACATCTGAGGAACACAGAGTGGCGCCGCTTTGGAACAGTCAGCAGCATAAAACACTGCTGAGTAGTTTAAACAGGATAATCGTGCAACAAAGTTCACATTTAACCCCACCATGTTAAACGAGACTATTTAATGAAATGAAACCCAACCAAGTGAAATTCTAACAATTGTTATGGTTATAAAAGGTGGAAAAAATATTATGCAGAAATGACCCTGTAGAAATACGTCAATGAACCTATATACATTCTTTTCCCCCGGCGTCGGTTTTTAACCCCCTGACATACAAAGATCATTTATATTCATTGTGAGATTCAATGATCGGTCGCTTAATTTCAATAATCGTTTACATGGATGATGTATTTATGCCTAATTGAATCTTAATTATTATATACTCGTAATAAAAGCCACCAATTTCTTATTTCTAAAGACAAACACATCAGTGAAAGAATAGTTAAAAATAAAAATAAAATTTCATATTTGAACTTGACGGCCAATGTCACACTTGAATTATTATGTCAGTTTTGACGTAAGTTTTCAATTGTTTAAGAAATATTAATCAAATCTATAAATGAAAGATAAAGTGATAACAACTTTAGAAAATTCCAATACTTTTATGCTTGCGGCCAAGGTCAATTAAAAGTCAAAGTTATAACAGAATGATTTATGTCAGATTTAAATGCTGACTTCGTCATCAATGTTCTTTTGTCCAAGTAGGAATAAAATATGTAAATAACTCAATTATAAGGAAATTTCAAAATAATATAACCTTGTCGGTAAGTGTCAATTATAGGCCAATGCCATGTCAGAGTAATTCAACTCGCAGTTTGGTCATATGTGTTATTTTGCTTAAGTATTAATCAACTCAAAAAAATCAACTTACAAACATATAAAAGTTATAACAATGTAAACGAATTTCAAAGCCTTGACCTTGACGGTCAATATCATATAAAAGTCAAAGTCATATATCAATCATTCATCATATGAATGTTGTCATAGTGGTTCTTCTTTTTCTAAGTATAAAGTCAATTCAAAAAGTAAATAACAAAGTTGACAATCGTAGCGAAATTCATTATTTTCATCTAAAGTTAATTAAGGTCAATGTCGTATTAAATTTAATTTTCTTTAATGTCTTGTCAAAATGATTGTTGTGCACAATTATGAGGCATTACATTCATTAAATACAACGTTTTGGTCAATTATAGCAAAGGAATGTGGCATTACAATAATTTGATCTTAAAGGTCTTTATAGATCAAATTATATTTGATCTGTTTTAGGACATAGTCCTTAGTGTAGTTGTGTTCAAGTATGTCGTCAATCCATTCATAAATAATAATGTTATAGCTAAATAATTTGATAGCAAAAATCAAGCAAAGTTTATTTGACTTTCAATGTCAAGGTTCAATATCAATTGATAAACGACGGTCAATATCATTTCAGTCTACTTGAAGGTCTTGACC